CTTTGTTTTAGAGTGATAATCCTCGAGAGCTGCAAGAAGGTTGGAGGAATGGAGAAGGGTCCCAGGGATGGAGGGATATCTGCTCCAGAGGGTCAGGATGTGCATCTACACCTTATCCTGGGGAAAAAACCCAGGATTTTTATACCCCTGAGCAAATAAAAGAAATAAAATTAAAAAGCCCATCCTACCAGGGCTGCTTTGTTTTAGAGTGATAATCCTCGAGAGCTGCAAAAGGGTGGGAGGAATGATGGAGGGTCCCAGGGATGGAGGGATATCTGCTCCAAAGGGTCAGGATTCTGCATCCACCCTTTATCCTGGGAAAAAAAACCCCTTTTTTTGGCAGTGCCAGAGCCCACAGTGGCCAATCCTCCAAGCCCTGCATGCCAGGACTACCACAGAGACAACACCTGCAAATGCCCCTGCACCAGTCTGGGGGGAACGGGCTAATCCAGCAGAACAAACCAGGCCACGGGGATTTGCATTTGTTTTCATGCTCTGAATGAGCCTGTGTCACTCCTGGGCTGGGCTGAATGGAGGGGAAATGTGTACTGCATGTAAAATTTGGGTCCATTTGGGGTCGAGATGGGTTTCCAGCAGTGACAGAAGGCAGAGGGGTCTGAACCCAATTTATTTTTGCCTTGATGAAGCAGCACTGGGCTCACACAAATACCAACAGTTCCCATCAATGCGTGAGCACCCAAAGCAACCAGAAACTAAATCACAACCAGAAACTAAATCATAAACCTGCCACGTCATCCCTCACCTAACTGTCACCAAGATGTTAGTGAGAGGCACAGGAGGAACAAAACAGGTGACAGCTGGAGCAACCAGAGGACTGGAGAAACACCAGATTCCTCAGATCATCCCTGAGAGGAGACAATTCTCTTCTCTTTGCTTTCAGAGCCCTGCTCTAGGAACAAGCTGGCCCAAGGGACTGGGAAAGTAGGACACGAGGACTATTCTGGATCAAAAATCTTTTTCTTTTTCAAAGGCTGCCGGGTGCCCTCCTCAGCGACCTCGAGCAGCTCAGCTGTCACCTGCCACACAGGTGCCTGCAAAGGCATTTATTGATTTCACCAGGGCACACAAAGAACAGACACCATCAATCCCTGAACGTGCTACGAGCATCCTGTGATCCCAGCTCTGCCTGCACAGAGCGTGGGGTTATTGATCTCTGAAAGGGGGAGCACGTCCCCAAATTTAATAACAGAGGGCAGTGTGTGACATTCACGTGGGGACTTTGATGCTGGAGTGTGAAGCACTTGAAAGGACACAGCTGATCTGCTGCACAGCCCCACCTCTCCTCTCAAACAGCACCTCCCATCCCTCTCATCCAGGAGCAAGAATGTCTTTTATCTGTTGGGAATGTCTCCTGCTTTCTTCCCCTCGCTGAGGAAACTCATTTAGTCTCCACCTGGATTCACCTGTCCACAGCAAAAAGCAAACAACAACAAACAAACTGAAACATCCTCCAGGCAGAGATCTCCTCTCCAGGTGTAGACAAGGACTGGACTGAGCAGGTCAATGGAAATCCAGGTAAAAAGGGAAAGAATACAAAGAAAATCTTTGCAACTGAGCTACCTTGAGGTGGATCAAGGTTCCACCTACCTGGGACACTTCCTAGTGACATTTGCTCAGGTCATCCCCCAAGCTGGGCTTCCCTCAGCCATGCCCTACTAGGCAGCTTTTCCTCCTTGTCTTCAAGAGGAAGAAAAAAAGAGGCAAAAAATCAAAGAGTGGATCAGGAAACGCTCACTTGGCCACGTCCTGAGCAATTCCCAAGACATGCCAATTCCCTGAGCGTGCCCAGGTTTCCTGCTGTCCCCTCTAAGACGGGATTTTCCACTCCCACCTTTCCCCCTCCTACTTATCTCCCTCCCTGCTGGCCCCCGAGCCTGCTGAGTCCAGCAGTGCAGATTAGATGTGAGCAATGCACAGAGCCCCACTCCCCCAGACAGCCTGGAGAGATAAAAGCAGCCGAACACTGTCCAGAGACAGCCAGGGCAGCTCCCTGTGGGTGAAGCCTGGAGCTGGGGACGCTCCAGCAGCTGCCCTGCGAGTCCTAGAGACAAAACCACTTCTTTCTACACCCTGTCCTTACACAAAAATCGAATTTTGCAAAATATCCAATGGAAGCCTTCTGTGAGCATCAAAGAGCTGCTGCTGGGGGTGCAGAGGAGCAGCCAGTGCCAGCCTGCAGGAGCACAGCTCTGCTGTCCCTTCACACACCCCTGTGAGCCCCCAGGGTGGCACTGATCAGGGGAAACAGCTCCAGTGCCCGTCCCATCTGTGTCCCCAGGAGCACAGGCCAGCAGAGCTGTCCCCTGTCCCCCAGCCCCTCTCTGGTGACACAGCAACACAAACATCACGAGGGACACGCTGGGCAGCGTGCAGGGGGTTCTCCAGAGCTGGAGCTGTCACATTTATCTCAGACTCCTCCAGAGCCGCTTGGAGCCGTCGGGCAGAGCACACAAAAGGACCATTCAGGGCAGCCCAGCACCAGAAACAAAGCAGATGCTTTGGGGAAGTTTGCAAAGGCCCCGGCACAGAAGGTTGGCAAAGCTCCTCTCCCAGATCAGGGCCCATCTCCTTGGCAGCATCAGGAGCCCTGGAGCAGCCCCGTGGCACTGTTTGGAGGAAGGGCAGCCTGGGGGACAGAGCCTGGCAGGGAGCAGGGATGCAGAACTAAACCAGAGCTCAGAGGCAAGCAGAGCTTTTAAACTCTTCCACCAAATTTGGCTGCTGAGGTCTGTTGGGCTTTTTTTTTTTTCCCCGTCACTGTTTTGGCAAATTAAGGAGTGGAATGGGAAAGCAAAAGCTCCCATCTGACCTGCTGGGAGCTTTACTCTCTGTGCAACACCCGAGGGGTCAAGGTGCAGGGAATATGTATTAGAGGTGAGGTTTTGAGGCTGTAGGGTGGCACTGAGTGATTTTGAAGCTCTCCTAAAAGAGGATGCAATAAATCAAGTCTGGAACCAGGGACTGGTCCAAGCAAGGTCAGTTTTCTATCTGGTAAGGAAAGATTCAAATGCTTTAAGAGAGAGAAAAAAAAAAACCAAAAAACAAAAAACAACCCCAAAACCAGTTTGAAATGAACTTCCTACTTATTTAAAGACCAATCCAAACTGCTTTTTTTTGCTCCTAGCTGGTATTTCAGGAATGAGCCCGACCAAAGGCACCTGGTCTGGTTTTACAGACTGAACCACTTTTGGAAAGGAGTCAGAAGGGATTTGGACAAAAACAACGGAGGCCCAGACACGGAGGCTGCCCTGGGAGAGCGTACCAGCTGTCTGCTCAGCCTCAAACCTCTCATCATGTGCTTGCAGGGAGGGCAGGGGGACCTCTTAGGGGTGGCTCAGCTCCGAGCTCGGGGCCAGCGGGCGCCGGTGCGGCTCCGTCAGGGAGAATCCTGGCTCCAGGGAACCTGCAAACCCTGAGCAGGCAGGACACGGGGACTGTAAACAGCAGAGATGGATGTTGGAACTCGGGGGAGCAGCAGGAGGAAGCCTGGCAGGGCCTGGATGGCCGAAGCACCTGCTGGCCCTGAACGGGGAGGTTTGCAGGGTAAAGCAGCCCTGCCCTCACCACCAGGCTGGCACAGCCCCTTGCCAGCCCTGCCATGCCATGTGCAGCATGGGGAGCACAGCACTGCCTCAAAGCAAAACAAATCCTGGAAAGAAACGTGTGGAAAATACTGCAGGGCCCTCCTTGAACTCCCCAAATCATCCCCCCTGCTCACAGGCAATGCAGCAGGGTTTGGGAGCTGGCAGACTGCACTGCCTGCTCCCTGTGCATCAGTCCTCAGGGCTGCCTTCTCAGGGCTGCCCTTCATTGAATCCCAGGATGGTTTTGGTTGGAAGGAACCTTAAAGCCCATCCAGTGCCCCCTGGACACCTTCCACTGTCCCAGGGTGCCCCAAGGCTCATCCAGCCCGGCCTTGGGCACAGCCAGGATCCAGGGCAGCCACAGCTTCTCTGGGCACCCTGTGCCAGGGCCTGCCCACCCTCTGATCACCTCCCTATCACCTCATCTAAATCTCATCGAAATCCAACTGAACATTTAGCTCTGAGATCCACATTTATCACCCATCCACTCTGGGAGCTTTGTGCTTTCACTTGCAGTGAATTCACCCAGGCTCAGGCACGGGGGGCTCTGATCTCCACACAGGGCCTCTCGCTGCTGCCACGAAGCAGGAAAATGCCAAACATGGCTCATACCAATCCCACCTCTCACTAATCTGTTTTGTCAGCTCATCAGAATCTTGAAAGCAACCTTTAAGTGCTGGGAGGCATCCTGGTTTCTAATTAGGCTCAGTCAGATTTTGTGGTTTAGGCAAGCCAACCTGGCTCGCTGCTGCAGCTCCAAACATGTGCACTTGAAATCAGTTTTTCCACTCAGAAAAAGATAAGGTCGCCAGTTTCCTCCCCTCAGATAAGCTGAAGGAGAAAGGAGCATGAAATCATGTCCCTGCCACCCCAAACCCGTGTGGTTCTGTGTCCCATCTCCACAGCCCAGCTGGGCTTTGCTGGCATCCAAAGCCGGAAATTGAAACACAGGATACTCCAAGGGTGGAGGATAAAAGAATCCAGGGATTTCTGAGCCATCAGAAAAGGTTTGATAAGCTACTGTTCACTGCCACTGTTATTTGTGTTTTCAGAAGTATCACGGTGTTCCCAGCACGCTGCAAACAACAAGCCAGAGCTCACAGACTTTTCCAACCGACTACAAAATGCAAAAATAAAAACCAGAAAATTCAAAACTGACTCACTCTGCCTGATTATAAAGCACTTCCTGAAACTTTTCACCAGCCATTTGCTTCCTATAAGAAAAAAAAAAATTGATATCTAATCCAATTTATTGAATCATTTCAGCCTTGCAACTCTGTAATTCCTGACACCAGGGAATTTCCACTGTGCCATTTTGATCACCCCTAAAACCATCAGCAGAGCCTCAGGGATCAGGGATGCTCCTCAGAGCTCTGGCAGGGAGAGAGCACTGACCTGGTGCAGAGGTGGCACACACAACTCCTGTTCCCTTGGAATTCAGCTTGAACCTTGGTAATCCTCCCTGGCAATCCCTCCTTGGCCATGGCATTCCCTTCCCAGCCAGCTGCCAAAAGGAGATCTGAAACGAAAATAATTAACATCACTCACTCATGGTTTTGTTGTTGGGGTTTCTTTTCCCCCCTGCTAAGCATCCAAACCCTACCTTAGATAAACAAACAGCACAAAGCCCCACCCAAACCCTGGCTCTGAACAAATCTGGGTGAGACACTCGTGGCTGGGCTCTGTCAGATGGAGCCCTGTGGGTTCATCCACCTCAGCTGTGTTCATTATTCTGATATTCAGCTCCCACGGACATGCCCCGAGGCCTGGACACGTCTCACTTACCTTCAGGGGCTGCCTGAGGAAGCTGAAGGTGAGGGGCCACAGTGGCACAGGGGCTCCTCTGGAGGCTCCATCTCTCAGCGTGAGCCACAGCGCCTCAGGGCAAGGCAAAGCAATGCTGGGAGCCAGCCAGGCCTCACATCCAGCTTTTCCTGGCTGTTCCCTGGCTCCCACCCCAGAGCTCAGCACCTGGCTGTCTCCATCTCAAGCAATGCTGGGAGCCAGCCAGGCCTCAGATCCAGCTTTTCCCTGGGCTCCCACCCCAGAGCTCAGCACCTGGCTGTCTCCATCTCTCTGGGAGCCCCTCACCAACCCCAGCAGAAAATGGGGGGACACTCTCCTGTGCCCCCAGGGTACCAAGGCAGCTAAACTAGTCACCTTTGCAGCAGAAGGGACATCAGCAGAGGATGAAAGGGCTGACCCTCAGCAGGGGTTAATCCAAGGTTTTATTCCCAGCTCCTGGGAGCTCCCCACCTCAGGGGGCCTCCTGCTGCCCGGGAGAGGAGCCAAAATTAATTTGGAGGGAGGTGCGAACCAAAAAGTAGATACATTTGCTGACCAATAAAGGAACTTCAGGGTGAAAACCTAGGGAATGGGCATTTGGGACAGCATATGGGGCAGCACTTGGGGGGCTGACCCCTGGCCTCTGACTAATCATTTGATGATCTGGATGGAAAGTTCCAGATAGAAGGGATGGGATGCTGAGTGATTGACAGAGAGCCAGGGCGGGGATTTGGGGATGATCTCAACAAAGCAGGGGGAATACACAGGTAAAGGGGGGGATAAAATCAGGGGTAAAGCATTTGGGAAAAATAAGGGGATACAAAAAGTTCTAGATAGAAAGGATGGGATGCTGAGTGATTGACAGAGAGCCAGGGCAGGAATTTGGGGATGATCTCAACAAAGGAGGGGATAAAATCAGGGGTGAATCATCTGGGAAAAATAGGGAGATGTAAAACCAAAACCATTACAACGTATAAAAACACACTACAGCCCCTGGGGAGGGTCCAGCCCTGCCCAGCTGGGAGGGCACAGGGGCTGCCACCCTCACACAGCCCATTGTCCCCTCCCCAGCCTCCAGGAGACACGAGGGAACTGCTGTCCGTGTGAGGCTTAAGGGCAATTCAGCACTAAAATCCAACAGGGTGAGAGCTGCAGAGCTCTGCCTTGCCTTTGCAGCTCTAATTTTGCTGAAAAGGGATTAATTAATGACCGCTGGACAAGCCCACAGCGATTCCCTGGCAGCTCTGCTGTCACTATGGAGATCTGGGCTGGTCCCACACGTTATCCTGGCAGGAGGATGCCCACACCCAGCCAGGATCCCACATCCCCTGAGCTGCTGGGAGCTCTGGTGGAGCTGCTCCAGGGTTACCCCGGTGCCACGGGGAGCAGAGAGCTCCATCCTGGCGTGCAGATGGTTCCCCCTCTCCTTTGGAGAGGCTGAATGACTTTTCAAACCTTTGATTCCTGATGTATTCACTTCAGGAGACACAAAAGTACAAAATCTCAGCATGGAGTGACTCCCTCACTTGCTTTATTATTTTGGTGGTTTTTTTCCCTTCCCACACCCCCCCACCCCTTGTCTTTTCTTTTCTTCTCTCCCTGGACAGTTTTATAATTTTGGCCTGTGGCCAGAAAGTCTGTCCTGATTAGCCTGGGCTGGCTGTGAAACACCTGCAGCCCATTAGAGCAGGAGGAGGGGGAAAAAAATCCCTTGTCATAGGTGAAGTAATGACCACTTCTTCCTTTGTTTTAACACGAAAAGGACAGTCAGGAGGAGAAGCAAAAAACCCCATGGCTTTACCCCCTCACCTGCCACTGACTGCTCTCAGCTGCAGCCACTGGGTCACTTTTGTCTGGTAAGTGATTCCAGTAATTTGTTGTCACTTCACCCCGGTGAGATTTACAGGTTATTAAACATGATGTGCACTTGCTGCATTTGAACAGTGCCTCCCTGCACCTTATTTTATCTCTTTGTGAGGAGCTAAGCAGGCACAAGGAGGAAGAAAATTCCCTCTGGGCAGGTTACAGCTGCATTGGCTCCTTGAAATCCCTCCAGTGTCCCAGCTGGTCCTGGCTGCCACCACTGCCAGCAGAGCTCCAGGGTGGCAAAGGGCTCAGGAGGGGACAGGCACGAGTCCCACGGCTCCAAAGGGTGACCAGGGCACAGCAGAGATGCAGAAGTGGCACTCAAGGTAGCACTGAAGCTCTTGGCTCTGGCACAGCACAATATTTTTTGTAATAAACACAGAAATTGCCATGGTCTGGGTGCAGGGTGACACTGGGGGCACTCAGAGGCAACAGCTCTGAGCTCAGCTCGTTGTACCCCTGCAGGACTCTCCACCTGGAGAGAGCCCCACTTCTGATCCCAAAACCCCTTCCCTAGATGTGTTTGTACACCAGGATGCCTCCAAAGAGGAGCTTGGTGCCTGCTGAGATGTGGCAGCAAGAGACCAAAACATCCCTCAGAGCCCTCCTGCTCGGCAGGGCCACGACCAAAACACACAAACAAGGAAGAAAAGGCCACAGTGAGACCTCAAAACACACCTGGGCTGAAGGGAACACCAGAGTGACACCTCAAAATAGACCTGGGCTGAAGAGAAGGTCACAGTGAGACTTCAAAACACACCTGGGCTGAAGGGAACACATGGGCTGAAGGGAAGGCCACAATTACACCTCAAAATACACCTGGGCTGAAGGGAAGGTCACAGTGAGACCTCAAAACACACCTGAGATGAAGGGAAGGCCACAGTGAGACCTCCTGGGGCGGGGACACCTCTCTGAAAATCCATGTGTGTCACAGGGACAGGAGCTGAGGGGACAGCTAGAGGTGCAAGTCACACCTTGAACGACGACAACAAAGTGGGAGCTTGAAGGCAGCTCCAGGAGTTCTGCTGCTGGGAGCATCTCCAAGGGCTGCATGGCATTTCAGTCCCATCCAGCCAAAATGTCAGAAAAACCCAGAGTTCCTCCCCAAACTTGCTGTGTTTTCATCAAAGCTCTTGATGTAGCTGCAAGGCACTGGAGACATTTACACCCCAGCAGCTGAATGTTTTAGTTCTGCATCCAGTGGAGTTCAGCCATCAATAGAAAAGAAAAGGGAAAAGAAAAAATTTGTGACCACAAGGGACTCTGTCAAATATTCCTGCTGCTGTCCTGGAGCATGGAAAAGCAAGTCTGCTGCTGCACACAGGTCTGACTATTTGCATTTTTAATAATTCAAGAGTTTAATTAGTATCATGCCCTTAATCAGAGGCTGAAAATACAGCTGAAGTCATCAGAGCTTAATTAGTTTAAAAAAAAAAAAGATTCTGCAGTGAAAATGTCTCGACTAACACGGAGCTCTGTCCTCAGCTTTGGGCTTCAAATGAGCTTTTACCTGTTGCTCCTGATTTTCAGTTCCAGCCCACCTCAGAATAACTTAAAATCCTCAAAAAAATCAGTTCACTAAATCAGTTCACTTCCCTGCTTATCCCTATGAAATCTTCCACAGCTTTCTTGAACTAGACTCAGGGAAGAAAAAAAAACCAACCAAACCAGTTTGAAGATAAAAAATTAAATTAAACCAGGTGGATCCCATAAGCTGCATGTGAAATTCCCCTGTGCAGGAAATAAAACTGGTTTTAGAACATCCATAAGTGTCCCTGGATCTTCAGTCAAGTCAGCAGGAACACATTCCTGAGGGAATCACTGGATGGGCAGAAAAATCCCCTTTTAGCAGTGGAACTGGGAGCTGAGACTGGTCCCAGTTGGGCACTGGGTGGTGAAGCCTGGGAGGTTTGGTCCTGCCTCCCTTCTCAGGGGAGTTATCCCAGTTTGGGATGAGCAAATCCAAACGCAGGCAGGAGCCATCCCCTCCCTCCTGCAGGTTGGTGGTGTTGTACAGGACATCCTGGATGGGCCTTCCCAACGATATTCCATTTAATGCTGGAATTAAATCCAGCAACCCAACAATAAAATCAACCCAACAATATTCCATTTAATGCTGGAATTAAATCCAGCAACCCAACAATAAAATCAACCCAACGATATTCCATTTAATGCTGGAATTAAATCCAGCAACCCAACAATAAAATCAACCCAACGATATTCCATTTAATGCTGGAATTAAATCCAACAACCCAACAATAAAATCAACCCAACGATATTCCATTTAATGCTGGAATTCATCACTGCCCAAGGCCGTGGAGACTGAACGCACACCCAGGTTCCAAAATGGATTAGTGAAATTCATGGAAATTAGGCCAATCCCAGGCAATTAAATATGCTAATCCAGATGCAACTTCCAGTTCAGGAAGTCAGGCAGCCTCATGCCCTTCCACCTCAGATTTACTTGGAGAAAGGAAGCCAGAAAAAGTTCTCACCATGCCAAAACTGTCCCCTGGCTCCGAGCATTAGCGAGAATCGCAGTAAATCCTTTTTTTTTGGCAGGAGGAGGGGGATACATTTTCCCTCAGTAATGATATCACAGCCTGCTGTTTCTTTCTCTCTTCAGCTCCTGAACCTCTGGGTAACCTCCCAGCTCGCTGTCCCCTCAGGAATATGCCAGATAAATCAGTGAAACCTACTGGAAGGTGATAGCAATCACAGCACAAACTTCCATTTAGCATGGAATTAGGAATCCAGTCACTTATGTTCCTAGGAAAGGTCTGCCTGGCTCAGACTGAAAGAGAAAAATGGTTTTTTGGGAGCACTGGGCCAGAGGAAGATGCTGGAAATTTAAGATGGAAAAATGGA